TTGCTTAATCCTGCTGCGAAGGTCTTGGAGGCAAAGTACTCCAAGATTGATGTGAGAGAGATTCTGGACACGGGGAGGTTTGATTTCGTTAAGGCGGCGAGTGGCGCCGGCTGGTTGAGGAGTCTGCATGAGATGAGTCGGTTGAGTACGGGGAATGGGGAGAGGGTGGCGCCGAGGCCGGAGACGGTTGAGTATGTTTGCCCCTTTTCTAATTCTCTGTGTCGTGGTTAGGTTCGTTGGCTAATGTGGACAGGTATGGAATAAATAACTTTGTGTATACGGCTAGACGGCCGTTTCATCCGCGCAGGCTGTTCAAGTTGCTGCATGACAAATTTATTATCTTGCAAAATGCGGCTGGGGCGGATGATGATGACGACGATGAAGATGAGGAGGAAGATGACGATAATGATGAAGAGATGAAAGATGAAGATGAAGACAACACAGAAGACGAGGAAGAAGAAGATGAAGATGATGATGAAGACATCACCTCCATTGCCCCCGAAACTATCCTCTCCAACAAACGCTCCGACCCCATCCTCGCCCCCATTCTCCGCTCCAAAGGTTTCTTCTGGCTAGCTACCCGCCCATACCAATTCGGCGAATGGAGTCAAGCCGGCGCTATGCTCACATTAGGCTGTGGTGGAGGGTGGTTCGCCGAACTACCTGACGAAGCATGGCCGGAGGATGCGGACGTGCGCAAGTCCATTGAAGACGACTTCAAGGGAGAATGGGGCGATAGGCGTCAGGAGATTGTGTTTATTGGTGAGGGTATTGACACGACGGCGATTAGAAAGCTACTTGATGAGTGTCTATTGGACAAAAAGGAGATGAAGAAATGGGAGAAGGTGATGCGGACGAACGGGGTAAAGAGGGCGGAGAAGCAGGAGATCATGGCGGGGATTTGGGAGGATGGATGGGAGGATTGGCCTGATTTGGAGGATGATGATATCAAAGATGAGGAGGAGGATGTGAAGGGGGAGAAGAGTGGGAAGAGGAAGGCGAGTGAGCTGTTGAATGGTCATGGCCATGGCCATGCTCATGGGCATTCTCATGCACATGGACCGGGGCATAAGAGTCGACCGGTGGTCAAGAAGTGATGCTTTGCTAAGATTATACTGGTATCAACAAAAGTAACTATTTGCATAAATCATAAAATTTATATACGCTCCATCCCAAATTCCCAAGTATTTACCACCTGTCCACCCTCCTCATCCTCAAATGCATCCCCTCAACCGGCTTCGTCGTAACCGCTCCAGCAATATGAATAACCTGGTTTGGATCCTTCATCTCCACCTCATACCTCGCCAACACTCCCGCCAACGCACACCTCAACTCCGCTTTAGCAAAGTCCTTCCCAATACACGCTCTCTGTCCATGTAAAAACGTTATCTGGGCATAATTAGTTCCGGCTCCTCCATGTCCATTTACCACCTGATTCCCCTCTTTATCCGTGTCCACCCATCGCTCTGGCCTGAACACATCCGCGTCCTCGCCCCAGAACTCTGGACTGCGATTAATAGCATACGGGCAGAGGAGGATCCTCGTTCCTTTCGGGATCGCGGTATTGGCGACAGTAGTGTCGCGGATGGATTCACGCAGAGTCAGAGGGACGGTGGGATACAGGCGGAGGACCTCCTGGACGATGCCGTTGAGTAGGGGCAGGGATTCGAGGTCTGCGTGGGTAATAGGTGACGATCCTGTTGGGATACGGGAGCGGATCTCGTCTCGCAGACGGGGCTGGTATGTCGGGTGTAGGGTGAGAAGGTAGCAGGCCCAGGTGAAGGCGCTGGCGGTGGTTTCGTGCTGTCTTCTATTTAGTATATATGCCCTTCACAGATTTAAGAATCAGTATGGGGGTTGGGTCAAGACATACACCAGCGGCAAGGAACGTCAGCATCTGATCAACCAGCTCATCATCACTAAAGTCACCGCCTAGCATCATCGTGCCGAGAATGTCCGCTTCCAGTTCTGCGGCCGTGGCTTTCGTCTGGAGCATCGCGGCTCTCTTCTCTGATACAATGTCCTTGCACAGGTCGCGGAGGAAGCCTGTCTCTGTGTCGATGACCTTGTTCATGCGCCATGGCAGTTTCCGGGCAAACCACTGCGGGAGGAGAACGTTGACAGCCAAGAAGGCGATCTTCTCGCGGGTTGGCTCCAAAATGGCGAGGAAGCTGTCGGCGACTTTGTTCTCGGGGTTGTGGAGCGAACGAAAGTCGCGGCCCATGGCGGCGGGGCCAATGATATCTAGTGTTAGACGACTATTCAAAGCTTAGTATTGTATTTTGAAGGTGGGATGTTGGCTGCTAAAAAGTAAAAGGGATGGTGTACCTCGCCCAAACACTCATCTCCACACACGACTCATTCGCATCCATCTCTTTCTGCAGCTCGTCCATCAATAACCTCGTCTTCTCCCACATCAGCCCATAAAGCGCACGAATATGCCGCACGTTGAACGATGGCGTCAGGGCCCGACGCTGCTTCTTATGTGCACTCCCTTCGGACAGAATCAGCCCGAAGCCAATGATCCGTGCTAGAAATTCGCGAGTGCGCCAGGGCTTCTCGAAGTCATACGTGTTGGAGCTCATGATGTCCAGCAGGGCCTGGTGGTTCGTGGCGATCAAGAAGCTGCGGTTGAGAATGTCGCGGAAATGAATGAGGCCATTGTTGGGGATGGTTTTCATCCATTGCAGTGGAAGACGGCCGCGGGGGTCATCGAAGAGGACGCGCGCATGATTGAGGTTGCCCTGGAACTGTTAGTGACTGTTATTGCAATGAGAAGCTAGAGTACAAAAGTATACCGGTAGGGTAGGCAGATGACGCAATGGATTCACCCAGTATGGATAGATAATGAACCCCCAGACAAATCGGAGAATAAGATTGCCTGCCAGTGCGAGCAGCGTCACACTGCGAAAGGCCCAGTCGGCGAGTAAACTGTGTTGAAGCAGGTAGCCCTCTACGAGAGACGCTGCCAGCAGCACGAGAGAGTCCATGGTGTGATACAGTGTTGGACAGACATCGCAAAGAATACTTCCAAGATGAAAGTCATGTTGAGAGAAATATTGCAGTTGGAAAAAGGGTATGAGGATCGACATTAACCAGGGTCAACCGAGATGCGTCTGTCTTGCCTCGGTTGCCATGGGCCGATGATCAGCCCTAGTTAACCCCTCATTGCTCAACATTATCAGATAGGCTAGTACGGAGTAGATAGTATGGAGTATATTCTACCCCAATACCTTATTTATGGGGGATAGGAACAAATCACATGGGATCGGCACCGTTGATCGGCGTCAATGCAAACCAGTGGATCAACATCTCCGCAATTTGTTGTTGTCCGAAAGTTAACCGCGGATCAATCGCAACGATTTCCCGTTTGGGGAGTCTCAGTTTGTGGAATGTACAGAATGCCGCATTTCATGCCACAATCTTCAGCCATGTGAGCCTCGGCCATCAATAGAAGAGATATATAGCAAGGGCTGCCACACTTTTACCTTATCTTAGCTTGATCAAGGTACCTTGAATAATTCACCACCAATAGAATTGTATACCCACCATCATGTCATTCATCCCTCCTGTTGTCCACGAATGGACTCAAACTGCCCTGGCCAATCTGCCCCCTCCAGCACAGCAGGCATTGCTGCACCCACTGGTCCCTAAAGCTCTCGCTGCTATCTTGGCTTTTACTGCTCTGCGCCAAACCAACCGCGTCCTCAACTCGCTATCCCTTAGCAATATCAGCACCCGGAAATGGGACAATGCCCGCGAACTCGTCCTCCTAACCGGCGGATGCAGTGGCATCGGCAAGCAAGTCATGACAGAACTATCCGCGCATGGCGCGAAAGTGATCATTCTCGACATTAGTGAACCCACCTTCAAACTCCGTACGCACCCTTCCCTATAACACAAAACTTCAGCTACTAATGATAATCAGCACCCAACGTCCATTTCTACAAAGCAGACATCACCTCCTCCGCTGCACTGCACCCCGTAGCAGAACAAATCCGGCGCGAACACGGCCATCCCACAGTCCTCGTGAACAATGCAGGTGTCGCCAACGACGCGACCATCCTCGACGAACCGGAGGCCAAGATCAGACAAACCTTCGAAGTGAACACGATTTCGCACTTTCTCACCGTGAAGGAGTTCCTCCCCGCCATGATCGAGCGAAACCATGGCCACGTGGTGACAGTGGCTAGTCAGGCTAGTTTCATGTCGCTCGGAGAGATTGTGGATTATAGCTGTTCGAAGGCGAGTGCGTTGGCATTCCATGAGGGGCTGGGGCAGGAGTTGAAGTATTGGCATAAGACTACGGGGGTGAAGACGAGGTAAGTTTCCTCCTCTTTTGTTTATTCGATGCAGGGAAGAGGGCTAATAGTGCATAGTGTGGTTCATCCGCTGTGGGTGCGCACACCCATGATTCAGCAGCTCACAGATGCTGGGAAGGAATTCAAGCAGCCTGTTTTGACGGTGGAGAGGGTGGGCAGCACTATCGCGAAGCAGATTATCTCAGGAAAGAGTGGACAGCTTGTTTTACCTGAATCATTGTGGTGGATTAGTTTGGTGCGGGCGTGGCCGACGTGGTTGCAGGAGACGGCGAGGGGGTTGGCGTCCAAGGATTTGGTCAAGTTGAGGGCGTGGCAGAAAGAGAATGATGTTAGTAAATAGTGGCTTATACGACTTTGGAGTTTAGGTTATTCATGTATAATGTTAATATAATGATTTGTGTAAGATGCAATGCATGAGTCGAGTTTATTGATGGAGTTAGAAAAAGAAACGGTGTAGCTACTTGATTAAAGTGTATGTGATATGTCAGACTTCATTGAAGGCACATACTGCCTGCTACGTGGCATCTCGTCTTGACCTATCTCAGAATATACCAATTTCATGTCTCATTGCATATGTACTATTCAACTATTGACAAATTTAATCCCAAACGGTAAAGCTACTCGCCCCTGCCAGCAATATATACTCCATGCCAGCCATACACATCTATCCCGCAGCCATCACAAAGTCTCACCCAACCATCCTCTCACCCTCATCCCCTGCCCCGTCTCTTCCTTCTCGCCAATATACAGATTATAGATCGGCGCCACATGTCCCTCTCCCTCTCCAACACAAAACTCCATCTCCCCCTTGAATCCCTCCCTCAACTTCTCCACAAACCCCTCAATCACCGGCAACAGAATCTCCCTCCCGCCACCACAAACCAACACCTTCTCCACGGGGAAAGACTCAAACCACTCCGCCGGCGCGCTCGACAGATCCGTATAATGGTCCCGTTCCCCGGTCCCAAGATAGGCCTGCGCCCACGGCCCCGCAACAGCGGGGGTAATCAGGTCCCCGCGCGAATCAATTTCCTGGTCGGTGTAGTCCGAGGCTAGACTAGTCCAGGGAGCGATCATGATGGCTCCGCGGAGGGATCCTTCACAAGGAATGGGGGCGATCTGAGGGTGGGGATGAGCGAGGTGGGAGAGGACTCCACCGACGAGATTCCCGCCTGCGGAGTCCCCGCCGAGGAGGATCTGGGAAGGGGAGTGAGTGGTCAGGATGTGGCGGAGGGCGGAGGTTGCTTGGCGGAGTTGGGTTGGGTAAGTGGCCCCCGGAGCGAGAGTGTAGGTTAGTGTGAAGATGGAGAGCGATTTGTTGTGATATTTCCGCAGATGAGTTATGAGGTTCAAAAAGAACTGGAAATAGCCTCTGTTGGCGGGGAGGGCGAAGCCGCCTCCTATATTTGTTTTGTGAGTGAAGGTTGTAGAGAAGGGATGATGGAAGGGGGAAGGAGGGGGATGAATGTACCGTGATACCAAATCAAGATATTGTCCGCTTTCGGGTCCCCGATCCAATGTCCCAGAGCCCCGTCACCCAAGTCTACTGTCTTGGAGGGTAGCTTGTGCTTCCGGACGTAACGTTCGTAGTTTTGGTCCGTAGTTGGGAGAGCATATCTGCATTGTTAGTGGACATGGGCATTGTCGGGGTTGGTTGCGGTCGAGTAACATACTGCATCTGGGCCACTGTCAAGCGGGCCGTGGCTTTGCGGAATGCCGCATAGCCAATATGAAGCACCAGCGTCTTGGGATATGCGGCCGAACGCCAAAGGGAGGTTAGGAGAGCCCAGAAAACTGTCAAAGTGATTGACGCAAGAGCTGGCACCAAGTCCAGTTTCTCCGCCAAAGAGAGCGAGATTTTGGGAGCAATCATATCGGGTTGGATGCCTATCTCAAGGTAGCAAGTACTGTTTACAGTAATGGCAACATCCTGGCTGTGCGACAGCGAGTTTAAGTCTTCACGGGCCACTGTGTCACTCAGTCTGATTTGCAAAAGATCCAAGAGGCCGATTCGGTTCAATCGCATGTGAGGGTCGCAAGGGTTTCCGTTTTGGGAGCGATTGGCCGCTGATCGCCAGGTCCATTTTTTGATGCCCCAACGGCCGGCGGTTTGCGATCTATCAGGATAGCCTCGGACTCATCATTGCGCTGCACCTGCAGCCGAGGCCATGTGAGCTGCATGCCTCGTTATAAGTAGCCTGTACGACCGCTCATTTCATCATCCACCATCATCATACCGCTCTTATTCCATCATGGAGACTGACTGGGACGTTGTTATTGTCGGTGCCGGCATCTCTGGTATCAACGCGGCATATCGCATTCAATCTCAATTCCCCAACTATCGTTACACTATTCTAGAGGCCCGCGATGCTCTTGGCGGCACCTGGGATTTCTTCAAATATCCCGGCATCCGCTCCGACTCCGATCTTTTTTCCTTCGGCTTTTCGTGGTTTCCCTGGGATGGTAACAGCCCCATCGCCGAGGCCTCCTCCATCCGCTCATATATGCACCGCGCCACTCGCAAATTTGGCATCGACAAGAAAATTCGCTACCAGCACCGCCTACTCGGCGCCGACTGGTCCTCCTCCGACCAGCTCTGGTCCCTGGCCGTCGATCATGATGGGCAATCACGCGCCCTGACTGCACGGTTCGTCATCTTTGGCACCGGCTACTACGACTACAGACAACCTCTCGAAGCCGATATCCCGAACCTCTCCCGCTTCTCCGGGGAAGTCATCCATCCTCAATTCTGGCCGGAAGACCTTGACTACAGCAACAAGAAGATCGTAGTCGTCGGCTCCGGTGCCACAGCTATCACTCTGATTCCCAAGCTGGCCGAGAAGGCCGCGCAAGTAACCATGCTGCAGCGCAGCCCAACCTATATCCTCTCCCTGCCCAACAGCAGCCGCTCGTGGTACAGCTACATCTTACCCGCCGCCATCTCGCGCCGCATCCAGCGCATCACCTGGTTCATCAGCGGCCACCTCTTCTTCCTCTTCTGCCGGACCTTCCCTACAGTCGCGCGCTTCCTTCTCCGTCTCTCCGTCTCCAGCCAACTCCCCGCCCACGTCTCCCACTCCCCGCATTTCAAACCCCGCTACAACCCCTGGGATCAGCGTCTCTGCATCTGCCCGGACGGCGACTTCTTCCGCGCCCTGCACACCGGCCACGCCGACGTGAAAACCGACACCATCTCCACCGTCACTGAATCCGGCGTCGAGCTCTCCTCCGGTGACTCCCTCAACGCGGACATCATCGTCACAGCCACAGGACTGAGATTGCTTATTGCCGGCGGCGCCTCTGTCACTGTCGACGGCGAGCCCATTCAAATCTCCAGCAAGTTCCTCTGGCATGGCATGATGATGCAGGATCTGCCCAATGCAGCGTTCGTGATCGGGTACACCAATGCGTCGTGGACGCTGGGCGCCGACGCTACGGCGTTGTTTATCTGTCGGCTGTTGAAGCACTTGGAGGCGGCTGGTGTGAAGGCGGCTGTTCCACGGTTGCAGCCGGGAGAGGCGGGAAGCTTGAAGGAGCGGCCGCTGTTGAATTTGAATTCGACGTATATCACTCGGGCGTCGGGGGCGTTGCCCAAGGCGGCAGATCGGGGGCCGTGGGTGTCAAGGGGAAACTACTTGAAGGATGTGTGGTTTGCGGAACATGGGGATTTGGATGGGTTGGTGTTTGAGGGGGGAAAGAAGCAGTTGTGATGCTGTGATTAGTAGATTAGATCATGGAGGACGTTCGGCGGAGTGATTGGTTGATATTGGCTTTATGTTCATGTATTACGACTGGCGTATATATATCCTTGTTCGTTTTGTTTTATTCATTTCGAAGATACTACTACATTTCAATGCAAGATACATCTCCTGTTCAAGTCATACATATTGTCACCTTCCTAGGAAGATAATTCCTTCATTTCTAATTTACTATATCAGGGACCCGCTTTTCTATTTTTCAACATATGTGAAGATAACAAGTTCATCTTCGGGCAATTTCATTTATATATTGATTCTTTTCTATCCCATTCGGATTGTAGTTCGAATATCACTCACAGTACTAAATCATAGATGCAAGATGCTGAAATACGGAAATGACATCATACCCAAAAACAGCAAACATACATCCCGAACTCGGGTGCCGATAACTCTATGGAAAGTCAGAAGTCAAATTCCTTCCGGGCGATCCGCATCTCCACATCTAGATACTGTCAGGTTCTGGATGACGATGCTTGAAGATGGGAGTCCTTGCTTGTTATGAAGCTGTGGGGCTATGTTGGGGGGGATTATTGTCAGAGTGACTCCCGAGATGTGTTCCGAGTGAGGAATCTCAGTTAGGTGCGGTGTCATAGATAGAAGATATTTTGGGAAGTACTACTACCGATCTATTAACCGACTGATGTTGCACAAGGGGTAGTAGGATTGTATTGGTAGCCATGATGTCACTGCTTCGGGTCTGTATAAGTACACTCACTTACCTCGCTTTACGATAACTTCGAAACCCTACTTACCTGCACAATACACAATACTACGAACTCGTCATGGATACCTACAAAGACACCTTCCAGCTGCCTCACATCAAGGGCCAACCCCTGCATGTCCTCATCGTTGGCGCCGGCATCGCAGGCCTTTCCGCCGCCCTGGCGATACATAAAACTGGCCACAACGTGACCATCCTCGAGCGGGTACGGGAAATCGCAGAGGTCGGGGCGGGCATCCAGATGGCGCCGAATGCAGCGCGGATTCTCGGTCGCTTGGGTCTATTGGAGAAGGTCATGGAGAAGGCGAATGTGTTGGAGATGAATTCTCTCCGACGGTATAAGAATGATGAGGAGCTGGGGAAGGCGGAGTTGATGCCTTCTGTATGTTATACCATATCTTACCTTTGATCATTGCGGGGGGTTGGCTAATGTGTGTAGGTTGGAGAAAAGTATCACGCTCCCCTTGCAGTCATCCATCGCGGCGACTTGCAAAGCATTCTGCTTGAGGCGGTACGGTCGGAAAATATCCCCATTCGAACTGACTCGCGGGTTGTCTGTGCGGCGCCCGATTTCTCTGCGCGCGTGCAACTTCATACCGGGGAATGGGTATCCGGGGATGTTGTTATCGGGGCGGATGGGATCAAGTCCGATCTGCGACACCAGATGGCGGCGCAACATGGCATTCAGGATATTTGTCAGCCGACCGGAGATGCGGCGTACCGGATCCAGATCCCAGAGGATAAAATGAAAGGGGATCCGCGGGCGCGGGAGTTACTGAAAAAGAATGTCGGGATGCGGTGGATGGGACCGGGAGGCCATATTATGGCGTATCCGATGAAGAACAATACTGTGTATAATATGGTATTGTTGCATCCGCAGAAAGAAGGCGCGGAGACGGAGGAAAGCTGGACGAACAAGGGAGATAAACGGGAGATGGAGGAATTTTATTCCGAATGGAATGGACTCGTTCGCGATTTGTTGAGTTATGTTCCTGACGGAGAGGTGATGGAGTGGACGCTGAACTCGCATTTCCCGCTGCCGACTTGGATTGAGAATCGCGTGGTTTTAATGGGCGATGCGTGCCATCCTATGCTGCCGTATGTGGCGCAGGGAGCGGCGCAGGCGATCGAAGATGCTGGGGTGCTCGGGTGTGTGTTGGCCTTAACGGACAATATCGATAGCGCATTGGCGGTTTATGAGCGGGTACGAAAGGATCGCGCCGAACAGATTCAGAAGAGTGCGGCAGTGACACGGAAAGCGCTGCATTTGCCGGATGGCGAGGAACAGCGCAAGCGCGACGAGGCTATCCGCGGCCCTGGGAAGAATCCGGATCTTTGGGCGGATAAATCCTGGCAGGATTTCATGTGGGGTGAGTTTGTGCCATTCTGATTAATGCGGTGGTTCTGAAGATGCGATACTGACGGCTGGTTGTTATGTTACTTGTAGGTACGGATGTCATGAAGGAGACGGTCGATAACTTCGACGACTTGGTTGCTCGCAGTCATGGATACCATCCACATGCGTTGAATGCGGTGGCTTATTAGAATGCTTCTTTTTGTGATATATCCGACCGAGGGACCTGTCAATAATAATAATGGTGGATATTGTGAGATCCGGCGACTCCGTGGAATTGTACTTCCAGCGACAACAATTATACGCCTAGTAAAGAAGCAAACGAGCTTGTCGGCATTCTAGACCCGGCGATCAGCCAGCCAACCAAGCCGGGGTTTAGCATCACACCCACAGCATCCATTCCAAGCACCTTGGTGCCCCGAAGGTCCAACCATCCCCATCCAGCTGATTGCGCCTCCCGCGGTGATGCCGGTCAGAGTGACACGTCAAAGGCAGCCACCAAGCACAACACTGCTACACGGCGAAAAACTGAGAATCGCATACTTCTGATGCTGAATGGATTCGAATTCCGAAGTAATACCGGATAGTGGACGGAAAAGGTGACTAAGTAAGGGGTAGACTCAGCTTAATCTACTTCAATCTATTGGGGCGATCAGTCAGATATTATATTAATCTACTAGCTACGGTAGTCTGACCCATTTATGGGACAGTGCTAGGATTTGTGCCATGCTGGACTGAAGGCTACTTTCTGACTTGTGCGTCTGACTGTGGAGGCAGTGTTTTGGGGTTGCATAGATAGTGTTGGTCCAGCAGTAGCGTTGAAACGGCGATGGTTTAGCGTCGTCGCGAAGTTTTGCTTCTTCTGATGGGGAAGGATGTGACAGGATCCGAGATGGAAATAGCTAATAGTTACGGAAGTATAGGATCATTGTGGTGTATTTGATACGTGAGTAGTATTGTATGTCTATTCGTAGGGTACTTCTGATATATACCATTGTCTAGTACTACTGTGTAAAACTGGTGCTTGTCTGCAGCGGATGTACTCCGTACTGTAGTAGGTTGCATTCCTTTGGATGACCGATCGCGGATACTCACTACTATGGATTTGTGAAAACAGCATAATGCTTTTGATAGGATATATTGCTTTTTTTTAGAGAAAGTTGCTGGAACTTCGGATCAAGTTGGGGGGTTAGCCGAGCATTACGACGATGCATACATTGTATTTTGAGGTAGAGATATATATACAAAATCGGTATACGGAGACTCCGAAATATTGATCGCACATTATTTTCTCTCCGAATACGGGGTATTACTGATAGACGAACAATGATCTTTCACAGTAGGCGTAGATTGAGCCTTTGCCTCACTATGAAATTCTAGTTGCACCTTGGATGATCTTCAGATAGTGTGTGATAGTCTAGAGGGCGGGTCAATTGGAATGCTGAATCCATACTTGCCGTGATTTCTGCCGGACACTCCAGTGCAAGCAAATACCACGCGTGACCTCCATTTCCATCTGCATTCTGTCTGCACCGGCTGCAGCAGCAGTCACTCGACATGATCTTTGCGTAACCCGACTCTACGAACTGACGGTTGACACATTCTATGCAGAACACCAACCGTCAAACTAATCCAATGTGGTTGCATGCAATTGATGGTTGAATGCAATCATTGACACCCAAATTTTGCATACCGTGTATGTCTGTCTGTCTGCGAACCACAGCAGTACTCGAGAGTACCTCCCACAGTAGCCACGAGCATGGCGTCCTCCTGTTCAGCCGGAGTTTTGCGAGTGGGGTAGCTGAGATGAGTTAATGATTGAATTTTGCTCGAGCACTGGAGCATCTGCAAGTAAGTGGACCCCTTGCTGTTGGTGGTATCCCGTCCGTAGGTACTGTAGGGAATGGTAGACGACGCAGACGTGAGGTGAGTTGGGGCGCTTTGCTGTAGCTAGCAGGAGAGATTTCCGTTCTTCCGGCATGATCGACATCAAGGACCTGGTGAGTGCCGGAGTCCTGGGAACAAAGTGTGGCAAGAAGATTCTGTATAGTGTATACCCCATCCTGCGCTCATAAAAAAAATCATCTCCACTTTGAAAGTTGGATGAACATGCGGACAGGACAGGCTGGGCCTGTCAGGGTCAGTGTTGGTTCCCGCATTACTGGAACCACTCGGACGCTAGACTGCAACAGGCACGACGAGGATCGATCGCTTCCGCCAGGGATGGATCCCGTGCTTTCGTTCCTTGGTCCGTCCTCGGTCGCTTCGCCATGACGATTCGAACACCTCCCCTTTTGACAGAACAAGGCACGAACTATGGAGTAAACTTTAGGTCATGAATCCACCACTTGGCAACTTCAAGTGCCTGTCACCCTTTGGTGAAGGTTTTGCAATATTCTCCTTTAGTCAATTGCGTCCGCTTTTCTCCCCGAGACACCGGCAATGGCGCCGTGTCCCTTACCGATACTGGATTGAGCCTTCTCGCTGAACCGTCACGTGGGAGCCAAAATTATCCACCGGCGCGGGTTGCAGCCATCGTGAATCTCCGATCTCTCTTTCCAGCTGAATGACGAGATTCTTCCGTCCATCCATACCGACCCACCCGCCATGCCTCCTGGCTGAATCAGATCCGCTTATTGCCCCGAGATCCCACGGGCTCCATGAAACTAATGTATCCCTCTTGATCCGTCTAATCATGACTCCTGCCTGCAATTTTCGGGGTTCCATCCTGGTGCGTCGGGGACTACGCGGCCTGCACATTGGCCAAATCAGGAACGTCAATCCCAACTTGGTCAGGATCAGACGCTTCCTCCCTCTCCTGAGCTAAAACAGCTCTGTCTGGTCATCAACCAAAATTACATACAGGTTCAGCACTGGCTGCTGCGGAGGTTCCGGATCGTGCACCCACCGCGCTAAGCGGGCCGGGGCGGTTCCTCAGCCGGGAGTCTGTGTGTGCTTGCCAACCATGGTTCTCCCAGTCGTCCAGCGCACGGCAATGGTGTTGGCACTGGTTTCGGATGGAGGACCAGATCGTGTATCAACATAGTTACTCCGCTAGACAGGAAATCTAAGCAAATGTATTTACCTGGGTTCAGTTTGACGATTAAACCGATTGTCTGTCCGAGGTAGGCAACCATCCATCCCGTCTTCAGCCCGGTGGAACCCTCTCTGCCTGCTTAGTAGCCGAACTAATTCTAACATACAGAATACTACTGGCAAGGTATTGACTTTACATACCACGATGATCACATCGAGTCCTGCCAGCCGAGACGGATTCATCCAATCCGCGTCCGTCCCCTCGATCGGCAGTTCGTCAGGACAATGCGGGTTTGCCCACTATCCGACTTTCGTTCATTGCCATTGGCTCCGATCGAAGAGCTGGGCCCATCCAGCCCCCCTCCGCCCCAGTCGGGAGATCACGTCCTCTCTCTACCCTCAGGCAGCCACAGCTGAACTCTCGCCCTAGCAAGGATCATAGCTGTTCAATAGACTATGCAGCAAGAAGGGGTAACTAACACAAGCAGGAGCTCAGCTCTATTCCAGCGGAGACTCCGAGTGCTGGTCAACGTAGCTGGAAACGGCCGCCACGAGCAATTCACGAGACCCAATGTGAGCTCTATTCGCCTGCCCCTGCCGCTGCTCGTGGGTGTGGGCACCATACGGGATATGGCCCGTGTTGAATGACAGAAAGTCCCGAGACACCGGTGCTAATGTGGAGGGGGGCATCGCACTCGTCCAGAATGGCCTGTGCTGCTCCACTGCCCATCCCGTCCGCATGGTCAAGAATTGGGACAGTAGTCGGTACACAGTAGGCTGGGATGCACTGCGCAGAGGGTTCACCTTCCTTTCTGATACGCTCATCGTGTCATCACGAAGCTGTCCCCCCTCCATCTCCCTTTGCAGGTGCCCAGCGGCGAATACCCTGCATTCGTGATGTCAATGCCATGGAGACCAAACTTTGATCAGCAGAGGGGATGCAAAGAGTCAAAGACATGGGTTTTGCAACCCCATTGACAGCCATTTCTCTATTGGTCCTCTCCGAAAGAAACTTTGATTTGGAATTCTCAGCCGTTCTGGTGGTGCTGAGAGGCCAAAGATACAGAGGGACCCATCGGGATCAGACTCTTCTCAGCCACGCTATGCTGCAAGAGGTATCATCGTGGATGGGGGGTTAAGCTTGCCACTATTGCTCGCTCATGAATCGTGCTCACACGCCAGCCCACCTCATTGCATCAGCCCCCGGTAACCCAATCCAGCCCCCCTGTCTAGGGTTTTTGTCTTTGCTTTTCCTACTTATTTAAGCGATCTTGCCTCCCACATAGTACGGTCTTCCTCTCCCTCAGACTGATACGAGGATTAACCTCTTAATCAAAGCCTTTATTCTTCAATGTGTTAGGTTGCCGTTTTGCGTCGCTATTTTTCTTGTATAGTGAGTTGTTGCCGCTGCTTCTCCGGAGAGACCTCTGCTGAGCCTGACCTTCCTCCACGGCCTACAGTCACCCCCTCCAGATACCCCAAGCAGTCGCCACAACTCACTCGCACTCCTTCTCCCGTGAAGAAAACACCACCTTCGAGGCCCACAGAAACACCAGATCTTGCTGATACTCAAACAATCACAATGGCCCCATCTATCCTGTCCCCCGTCCCTAGCAGCTTTGCTTCCCCCCTCTCCCCCAAGATGCCCAGACGTATCTCGGGATTCGCAGAGAGTGACACAATGTCCAACAATGGCATGTCTCGCTCAATTACTTCCAGAAGGGTGTCCTCCCGCAGGCTCGACCCTCAGGAGACGGAATTCTCCAGGAAACTGTCTATCCTTCAGCGCCAAACCGGTGATGAGCTGGGCTTGACCATCTCGGGTGACTCCTATGAGATGGTCCTGTCCTGGATCCAGGACGAGCGTATGACCCTTGTGCCCCCCGATGGAAGCGACTATGACAAGGTCCTCGGCTGGGCACAGCTCTTCGTTACTAGACTCCGGTCTTTTGAAGAGGCTATTGAGGGCTTCACCAACGTCAGCGGCCTTGCCTTCCAGATGGCTTACGGATACTGCCTTCTCCTTCTCAAGGTATGCTCGCCTGATCTCAAATATGAGGATCACGCTGATGGTAGTTCATTCTAGCTTGGTGACGAGAATGCCTCCGCTTTGATGACATCCTTTGGCTTTTTCTACAGCAACTCCACAGCCCTTGGAAACCTTCTTGAACGGACTGGGCTTTTTAGTGTGAGTAGTGATATCCGCCGGCAGCTGGTCCAGGCGCTGGAGGACTTGGTGCACCTGGTCGCCAGTGTGGCCATGCACTTCCACAAAGCCGTTCTCCGTCTAGGGGATGAGTGGGAATACATCAACATCTACGAGGCTTTCCCGGAGCAAATCCACAAATTCCGCCGTGCTTGCGAAGAGATTAGCGAGTCCATGTGGAAGCACCAGCTTGTGAAGGAACGCGGTGATGAGACCAAAGGCAAGCTTTCTTCCCTCTTTCTGATATCAAAACATAAACTGACATTGTCCGAACCTCCAGTCGCCGATGTTAGAGCTGTCAGATCCTGGCTCAACCCCGAAGACCGTGTCCTCTCCAACGTTGCCGAAACTGTCTCACACCTTGCCCATGACCGCGAGGAGAACACCTGCCGTTGGGTCAAGCAAGCTCTATTTGACTTCGTAACAAGTGAAAACAAGGTCCTGTCCATCGTGGGCAAGCCAGGCTCTGGTAAAACCGTTCTGGCATCTGTTCTTGTTGACAATCTGCAACACGCGATCCGCGGAGTCCCCTACAAGACTCTGTTTGTCCCCATCAGTAAGTCCAATCAGAGGTTAATCTTTCTGATCCATATTTTACTAACATAATGTAGATGCTCGTCTTCCTGCCGGGACTAGGCCCCGGGCTATCGTCAAGGCCATTCTATCGCAGCTATTCGAGAAGCGCATCGGAAACGTCGAGCTGCTCCAAATTCTGACCGATGCCTTCCAACGCAGCAAAAAGGCTACGAATGATAATGATTACGATAACATCCTCTGGAATGCTTTGGAGAATGCGTTGGGCGCTGCACTTCAAGGTGCTAAGGATCTTGTCATTGTTGTTGATGGCATCGACGAGGCTTCCTGCGGTGAATCTGCACTGCTGCAGAAGCTGAGCGCTGCCACAATGAAGGGCACAAACGTGAAGTTGATCACCCTGGGAGCCGAGACGCCAGCCAAGGCACCAGGCCATCACACCGTGCCGGTCACTGATGAGCGAATTTTCGAAGACATTGCTACCGTTGTGCGGAGCCAGTTCCTTAAGGCCAAGGACAGCGTTGTTTTCCCTGAGCTTGATGACATTGAGCAGGAGTCAATTGTGGATCGCATCACCGAAGCCTCAAAGGGCTCATTCCTGTGGGCCAAGCTTGCCTCGAAGCGCGTTCGCGGCGCGGATAATGCCGATAACTTGAACAAGGCGGTGGATGATGTCGTGAACGCTAAGATGACCATCACCAACCTCGTCCTCGAAACAGTGCAGCATAAGGGCGTAACCGACGAGGCTCGCCTGATGTTGCTGTGGCTCGCAACAGCTGACCGCCCTCTTCTGTTTAAGGAACTGCAGACTCTGGCCTCTATCCAGATCGACAAATTGGCAATTGCCGAGGGCTACCAGATCGAACCACGCAAGGTCCTTAGGCCTGTCAGTTCTTTGGTATTTTTCCAGGACGGGCAGGTCTATCTTCGTCATGGTCTCATTCGCGAAGCGGTCTTGGACGTCTTCTCCAAAGGAAAGTTGATCCCCAACGTCAAGGACCGTCACGCCGACTTTGTGACTAGGTTGTTGATCTATATTAAGTCGTATGTGACTGAGCCGCAGGGCAAGGAGCCGTCTCTCTCCCCTCTTATCGGCCACGAAACGGATTCGCTGGTCAGCAGGTACCCTCTCCTTGAATTTGCGGTTCAATACTGGGTGTCTCATCTGAGACAAACGACCGTCTTTGTAAACCAGGGTGAGACTGGTGCCGCGAAGGAGTTTGCCAAGGTGTTGCCGACTTCGATCACCGTGCTCCTGCTTCAGAGGGCTCTCTGGGCGAACAGGCCCACTCCTGAGCTGTTGACCTACCAGACCACGGTGACTACTATTTGCCGCCAAATTTTGAACCCGAAGGATAGGGTTACTCTTCAGTCCATCATCAACCTCGCGCTATTTTTCCGCGACGTTGAATATATTCCGGAGGCGACACCCCTGTTGTTCGAGGCTACCCGCCTGAGCAGCGAACTGCTGGTCAACAGCCCGTCTTTCACGGCACAGTTAATCAACATTTTCCTAGAGCTGACCGTGAGCCGTGTTACGGAGAGCAAGACGGAGATTATGACCATGCGCGAAGAGACTCTCAATCTCCTTGTCACTTGCTACACAAAGCTGTACGGCGAATCCCACAAGATGGTCATCTCCACCCGGGAGCAGTTGGTCAAGCACTATCAAACAATCAAGGATTTCCATAAGGCTGAGGAAATCAGCAAGCACATCAAGATCCTCACTGTCGGAGAGCAGGGCATTGAGTCACGTGAATACCATGGTGACTGGGGAGTGCGCGTCAGGGGACATCGCGGCAAGGTTGTGCAGACCAGAATCAACGACTTCTTGGAGATTGAAGAACATGACCTTCTGATTGAACGGTCCGAGTCCTTCGATTTTGAAGCCATGATCAAGGAGGCCGAGCAGTATACTGCGCAGGGCAAGTTTGACCTCGCGGAGCGCATCTACGTCGAAATCTGGCAGCGCGTGAACAAGGAATGCCGCACCAACATGACTGCCTTGTGGGAAGAGAGGAAGCTGGCGTCTGTCCTTGCTTACTCCCACTTCTTGAAGTCTCAGAAGAAAGAATACCAAGCCGCTTCAATTCTGTCCAGTGCTTGGCAGGAGCATGAGCAGACTAGTCTTACCATCTCTGATACCTCAGTCTCTTACTTCCAGGAAATCGCAAAGATGATGAAGGTGGTCGGCATTTCCACCTTGGCTCTGACCGTCTTCAAGCACTGCTCTGAATACTACAAGAGCACAAACCGCACCCAGACGTCGAGCTTCAAAGAGGTACAGCAAAGCATCGAGTCCACATCGAAGGAGGTCATGCAGTCCTTCAGTTCTGAAACGGTCATGTCCGAGACCACGGTTGAGGAAATGGTTTACGAGGCATCGAGCTCCATTACCACCATGTCTCAGATGTCGTTCACTGCGACGACAGAGCTCTATGCCCAATATGTTGAACAGCACCGCTGGCAAGCCGCCACTCGGCTGATCAAGAAGGTCCTCCACGGTGTTTGGCCTGCACTCTTCGCCCCGAACTTGCAAGATGTCACCCTTCCGTCCAAGCATGTAGAGAGCTGCATAGACCTTGCGGAGCGTCTCAGCAAGTGCTACTACTCCCGTCGTCGTTTGAGCAAGGAGGAAGATATCCGCGTCCGTATCTACCGCGCGTTGCGGGGTGGTCGCAAGGTCGACGACAAGCTCAGGCAACACAACACGGATGAGCTGCTTCGTTTGCTGAAGCGCAACTCTCAGACCGACAAGATCATCAACCTTCACCAGGAGTTGCTGAACGACTACGTCGGCCACTATGGCCCGGGCGATGCAATTGTGATCAAGACCTTGTGGACTTTGGCCGAGCTGACGCACCCTCGCCCCATCTTTGTTGATTACTACCTGCAGATCGTTCGCACTCTGAACAAGGACTCTCCTACTTGCCACCCCGAGGCATTCCAGCCACTGGTCATTGTCGCGACTGAGCTATGGAATCAAGGCCGGTACTCCGATGCTGTGCAGCACTTCAAGATCCTATTCACCTCCTTCATCAGCAACCCCAAGCTCAGCCCCAGGTTCCAGGACCAGACCTTCGTGCAGACAATCTTTAACCGGTACACTCACTGCTTGCGCAGCGTCCGCACTGAGTTTACTGCCCTGCACCAGGTCACTGTTGAATACCAGACCAAGGTTAAGGCAGTGTTCGGTGTTACTGCTACCATCAGTCTGCAAGCCTCTCTGACCCTCGCAAAGCTGTGCCAGGAGTCCAAGTCGTATGAGGTCCAGGCCATCAGCATCTACGAAGAGCTGCTTGCGACAAAGTCTCAAGACATCGATCTTGGAGAGATCTCCAATACCCTGGACGCTATCTATGAAGAGCAGGCAGCGCTGGTGACGGAGAATGCCGAGTCTGTGACTACGCAGCAGGCCGACCGCGCTCTGAAGGTCTTGAAGAAGCGCACATCGACCGTGCGGAAAACTCACGGTTGGGCCCACGAGGAATCCCTCACCCGGATGAAGCAGATGATCTCTTTCCACGCCGAACGCAAGGAAACCGAGACTGTTTTGAGCGAGCTCAAGCAAGCGACCGTGGAAATTTTGAAGTCTGAGACTTCTACCACCCGGTTGATTGCCGCTGCCTCCACTATCGCGTCCAGCTACATTGCGTCCAACCAGATCCAGAAGGCGACCGAGCTTACTCAGGAGATCTACCGTCAGATTGTCATGAAGGATACCTCCAACGTCAAGTCCGTGCAGTTCGACCTTGCTTCGAAGGAGCGTCAGAGCCTCAGTTTCCTGGCACAGCTTGAGTACAGTCTGCGCCGTAGCACATCGGTTACGATCACCGAGATCTTGGCCGCTCTGACGACCGAATATGTTTACTTCGAAGAATTCAGAAGCCTGACTAAGTCCAAGACGAGCTCCATTCACACTGTCTCTGTGTCCACCGCGCGCCTGTACCACTTCCTACTGTCCAACAACCGTCAGACCGCTGCGGCCCGCGTTTTCGATGAATTCGTGGACTACTTCGTCGCTACGGAGGGCAAGCGGGTGAAGCTGACCGAGCCTGCACAGGTACGCATCTTCGCTGAGACCATCCTGCGTCACTTCAGCACCCACCGCTCGGATGATTTCATCCGTTCCATCGGTATCACTAGCAATGACTACGTGGACCAGCTGCTGAAGAGCCAGAGATGGGGCAGCGCTTGCGACCTTGCCCTGGCTTCGTTCCACTACATCAAGTCCCACCAGGAGGTCTACCGCTCTGTCGGCATCGTCAAGTTCATCTTCGCTCTTGGTATGACTATTGCGGGTCGTGACCTTGCCGCTCGCCCCGATGAAGCCTCTCGCAAGAAGATGCTGGGCGTCTCCTCCGTTATCATCAAGGAAGCGCTCACCGTCATCAAGGGTCTGAAGCTCGACATGGGCGGCGTCAACTTCGAGCAGCTCAGTAAGTTGATTGGATTGCTTGGAGACCTGAAGGACTATGGCAACCTGGCATGGCTCCTCACCATTCTGTGGGACAGCCGTGAGGCGCACCGCAACTGGCCATCCTACACCCTGTCTCTCGGCCACCGTCTCATCATCGCTCGCTTCCAGATTGGCAAGTACAAGGACGCTATTCGTCTGGCCGAGGACATCACTTACAACTGCCGACGCGTGCACGGACCTCGTCACCCCAGCACTTTGGAGATGTCGACTCTGCTGACGCAGCTGTACACTAAGGTGGCTACCAGCCACCAGAACCACAAGGAGCTGGCCAACCGCTACTACAAGAAGTGCGCCCAGGTGCACGAGAGCATTCTTCGTGCCTTCAGCGACCCCTACTATGCCGACTACGAGGATAACCTTGAGGCCAGTCTGAGCATTGATGGCTCTATGTACGGCGATGCGCAGGACAGCACCCCTGATACTGTTCCCGAGGCCCAGCGTGTTCGCCAGCACCTGCAGCTCTTCAAGCTGGCCGTTGAGCGTCTGGGTGACTGGCCCGGTGACTACCAGGATTACGTGCGTATGAACCGTGATGTGTTCGCAGCATACCTCGAGGACCTGAATGGAGTTGAGGGAGTCGAGAAGTGGAACCTGAAGGCGTTTGGCTCTGGCAAAGCTTCGAGCAACGAGGATGTGTTGAACCTGGACCTCCAGTCTTGGGATATAATTGATACCCAGGCTAGCCCTGTCGTTGAGCCGGAGGAGGAATTGTAATGATCATGTTTGCATGGATTTTTTGATGAGTGGTTCATGTTGTGATTTTCCTGTTTTGGATTTACTTGGCTTTGGTTGATTCCCTCTATTAGTTTGCTTTTTCACTTACTTGCCTGACACCTAATTGACTGCTTGTGCGACGCTTAATATGTTTCTTGCGTAGTGCGTAACATCTGTAAATGCATCTCGTAGGCATAAATAAGGCGTATGTGAATGAAGATAGAGGTTTTTAGAAGGAGACTATGAACGAAGATACAGTATTAATTTATATAAGTGGTGGTAAAGATATACTGGATTTGAATTATTTGTTAACTACCTAGTACGTCAATTCTTTCAAACGACACGCCTCTTATCGCTGCTCTTCATCAGCATGTCCCTCGGGCCGACCTTCATAGTGACTCTGTGGCAGATGGTTCAACTCATCCTCTTGACGATCGAGCTTGTAGTTCGTCAACCAGAATCCTGCAGCGCCAACAAAGGCCAGAATTGCTACGACGGCGTAGTTCCACACCAGGAGTGGGTCATTGGATAGTCCCACCAGGGCTTGTCCGATGGCAGACGAGAATGCGTTCATGAATAAAGCCACTGCTTGCACGAGGGAGCGCATGTTGCGCGGTGCTTTGGTGAAGGCGTATTCAAGCGAGGTTACGGATGCGAAGATCTCGGAAATGCCGCCTAAAATGTAGACTAGCGCTTGGACCCAGACGGATATGGGTGAGTGCGAGTTGTATTCATCCAAGCAGTAGTTGGCCTCTTTTCCGCATTCGCCTTTTTGGTAGATGTAGTATTGGGTAACGGTGGCGGCAATCATGGACAAGCCGGCGGCGATGAAGCCAGCTGTGATGCGCTTGAGAGGGGTGAATTGAATGCCGACTTTTCGGAGGCCTGGGTATACTAGCTGGTCCATGATGGGGATGAAGATGATGAGTGAAAGCGGGTTGAGGTTGTTGATGATGTCGTTGGGGACACCGCCGAGACGCATGGTGGCCGCCTGAGAGGTCAGGTTGTTTAACATTTGGTTGTAGGCCAGCCCTGGACAGTTAGTATAAGCTGCAAAGAGAGATCGGAGGTGCTGAACGTACAATACAAAGGATACCACAGAAACACCTTGCATGCTTTCAGACCTCGTGCTACCTCATCCACCCATTCATCATCGAAGGTCATCCATTGGGGACGACTGGCACCGAGAGCACTGGGCTTGACCGAATCCCAAAATGGGGTAGGGTTCTTCTTGAACCTAACATGTGTTAGAACAAGGTTCAGGGTGTATAGGGAGAAACATACATCTTTGCAGGATTCAGCGACCAGCGCCCCTCCATAGCCAGCTTCCACAGCCTGAAAGCCTGCAGGTACACGGACCCAGTTGGCTTAACCAGATAGTACTTGTTGCGGCAGATGAACAACACGGTAGGGCAGAAAGTGAACATGATTGTGGGCAGGAGATATGAGAGCCAGAAGCCAACGTAGCGCTCCGCATACACCATGCTAACTTGGCCTAGGATGGAGCCGATGTTAATCATCATGTAGAAATACAGGTAGATGCGCGCGACGGTGGCAGCATGGTCGACAATGACGCGTTCTCCTGACGGGAGGGTCTTGATGTACGGTCTGCTCTCCCGATATTGCTCCGCGATCAATGGTGAGATATTTGATCTAACCCAGTCAGATAATGGCCACGATGGAAGTGATAACGATCTCACTTGAAACCACCTGTTCCCACTCCCATGATAACCAGACCGATTGAGAAGCAAGCAATTGCACCGTGTGGATTTTTGATAACCGGCGGGATGGCTGAGATGACGAGGATTGTATGACCCAGCAAAGCGACTCCGATCGAGAACATGATGGTGCGGAAGCGACCCCAGTACTGGTCGGCCATGAAGGCGCCCATGAGGGGCATAATATAAGACCAGAAAGAATTGACTGACGGGTCAGCAGATGGTCATTCTGCAGATGTGGCAACTTACACAAGGTCAATCCAGTGGAAGCTTGCTGTCCCATGCCCAAAGCACCGGGTACCAGATTGTCTAGGCCATGAGTCGCACCGGTAGATGAACCTTCAGGAAGCGGACGTTGGATGAAGTTGACGACTGTCAATGTTAGCAGGGAATAGAGCGGGGGGTAGTGACGGACGTACAAACTGCTGTGGTTCCATAGTAAGAAAAGCGCTCGCACAATTCCACAAAGGCTACAGTATAGGCTGTCCAGGGGATTTTGCCGGAGACGCGACGTAGAGTCCTCAGTTCATCCGGAGAAGGGAAGTCTTTCTGTAGAGCTGCATCGTCTTCATATGCGGCCGACGAACTGAACCCGCCTTTCTCAGCAGTTTCACGAACCTCCTCGATCTCAGGTGAGGTGGCGGGACGTAGCTCGGCTGAGATTCGATCCCTCTTCTCGCCTTGATGCGCATCATGAACAAAGGCTGCAGACTTCGCAATCTCTGCCACTTCAGCAGTGTCTGAGGGATTCATGACGGGCGCAGCAGGAACAGACGCGCAGAGGGAGGAGGAAACGATAGATTGCGGTTGGGGAGGGGTAAGACGTCCAGGGGAATGGACGACTTTAAAATGGACAGGCCAAGGTTGGACAGCCGATCGGTTGTGCAGTGAAGGAGAAGTCCCGTCTGAGCGCGAGGTGACCGACCATTATCGCTTGTTTTGTGTCACCTCCAATCATGGAAGGAAGTGATTGCAAGCTGAGTTTGGGTGGAAGAGCCTATCGGCTGGCCGCCCTCGACACAGTCGGAGGAAGTGAGGGTTCCTCTACGCCATATGGTGCCAAGATTCTGCCTTATCGCCGGTTGTGCAACAAAGCGCAATTATTCATGTCTCCTCAGTGACCCGGGCACTCGCTCGGTCATGTTTTCCGGGATGTCAGCCAACGAGGCCGAGGCATTTGTCTCAGCTCGAGCTGGGCACCCTCCCTAATGGCCACCGCGATAAGCCCGGCAGAACAAGCGGATTGGTGCGTGAAATTTGGGGGTGGCTTGGCAGGTCTTGGGAAAGGAAGCTGTTAATGTGGCACTGGCGGAATGTTGGGCTTGGCTGGCAGGCTGGGGTGCAACCTCACGGCTTGGCTCGACCGGGGGCACCAATGATCACTTGAGGGAATTGACCCTGAACCAGTCCTCAAGATTAGGATTTCAGGGTCATGGTACCACCACGCGATCCTATCGGAGCAGCCCGACAGTCCCTTGCCTTGACTCATGGAGGGCCGTTGTTACACCATTCCGGACTTTAACCTCAAAGGAGCCAAAGAAGGAAAAAGTAAGAACGGGATCCCGACGGAAGATGCTAGTCATAAACGTGGACATATACCTGTTCCCGCCACTGTAGTTCTTGGTAACATCCTTCCATGAGATGATACGCTGGAGGGGTCGTCCGGCCAAGCGATCATGTGCCAGTGAAAATTTAATGCTGTCTAAGATAGCGTACACTCCCTACGTCTGCCATCTTTTTGGTCACGCTGAAAGAGAATTGTTATTGTTGGTCTGACTGTACCATTATTTAAACGGTCCAGAGGATAGAGACGAATTGAAATACAGAACATAAGCGAGATGATGAGGTGAAAAATATGGGGTAGCTCCTTGCTTCCCCGCATACCAACCGATGATCATTGCCGACCAGGGATGCTTTCTCAACCCAATCTGGCCTGTGGGGTGAGACACGTTCTAGACTACCCACAACGTAGCAGTCTGCAACGAGCCACAACGTGAAAATATCTCCATCTCTGTTCGCACCTGATCACACCCCTCTCGGAGTCCATGTGGCCAAAGCTCGATGCATCGTGAAGATCCCTCAATGGTTCCAGACCTGCCATTTGATGTAGAACTATCAGTACCCTCAGCGATAGAGGAGTGTATGATTATCCAGCTCATTAGCGAACCGACCAATGAAGTGGGTGAATTTAGTCTGTAGTGTAGTGCATATGGGGTGACATGTAGATAAGCATTGAGGCAATCCACCAAATGCATGTCCATTCAACCTATTCAATGCATACCAATCGATATTCCTCGCTCTGATGAAGTTCCTTCACTAAGTAGATCATTCTCCAGCTTTATAAAACCATCCACCGGCCCTCCTCCAATCTCATTTCGTATTCTTCCCCACTACAAGTGTCTAGAAAGATCAAAGCAATCACATATGGATGTTCTGAAATCTATTAAAATTCAACACCGAGATTGGAGAATCTATTCGTTGTGTCTAATCAAAGGACAAAGTTATATATATGTATCTGTATAAATTACAGAACTATTGACATTAATTCAAGAACGACCCCTCTTACAATGCTAGTAAGAACTACATTGTTCGATATACCATACTCTCTGGCAGGCACGCCATCCGACATGACGCGGTCTGCAGGGTATCCACTTATCGGCTAAAATATACATAAGTTAAGAACACCGACACTTTCTCCAATACTCACCATTGGGATGTGAAACAGACAAAACTACTCCAACTAGTGAAGTCGATAGAATCCAGTTTTGATACTCTCACCAATAAAGCTGGGAGTCTATATGCCACTGTTTATTACACTTAACCATGTCGCATCGGGTACTCTGTGCAATACATTGAGAATCTCTATCTATCCTCCATGGCCATGGATTAGAAATAGCACGACAATAGCAGCCTATAGGAAATGTGCGTCTGACTACAAAGTCCCAATGACTAGTCATCTTGCTTACGAGCTTGAAATTGTACGAAAGGTTTCCCCCTGATTACTCGATGGTGTGGCGTAGCAAAGGAATGAAAGGACATCGAGACATGAAAAGATATAGGCGAAGCTGAACCGCTGTATTCCTAGCATACGCTGAAGGATGAATGTCCCTTGTGTGGACACTAATAAGCACAAACAATACGATATTATCAGGTCAGAGAACGCATCGTCAGTTCGGTCGATGTGTCTCTCATTGACCTTTGGCGCAGACACAGAGACCATATACAGGAGTAAGGACTTGAAAATGATTTCTAGAATGGAACTCAATGTCCGATACCACTTAATCTGCACAACGCTATAGATTACCCGCATTGAGCTGGTGTAAACGAATGTTTGTTGCACTGATGATATTGTTTGAGGTTGAGGCGGAAGAAGAAGCAACCCTGGAATGATTGATTGGAAACCAATTTACTCTCTAAACTTAGCTTGGCCTGGGTATACCGCATTTGCCGGTCCTGGGAAATACATAATGAACTTCTTCTGAATATGGGAAGGATCCATTGTCACATAACTGAAAGCAACTAATTACAAGAAAATGGTATAATATGCTATCTACATGCGATCAATCCAGCGGTATATAGGTATTGCATCATAATCCAAACAGAGTAAACAAACCAACACCCATGGCAACAAATGCAGAAAGCCAAGTATATGAAACATCAACAATTCTCGACGCCGCACTGCTCGACCCGCCACAACATTTACCATTGTACGTAACGTTATTCATTTGCGCCGCGACTTCGAAAACGGAGCCTTGGAAGTTGCCGTCATTGTAGTAATCGACGAGGAGGAAGTTGGGCGGACGGTCCCATTTTGCTGTTATTGATTGATGTTAGTATATCATTCGCCGATGTATATTCTATGCTGATGATGGTAACTTACCTCGACAATTGTTGGCCATCAATCCTAGGCTTCCATATCCCGACACTGCGTTCGTCTCGTTGATCTGAGCGGAATCCGGCACCAAGATATCAATACCCTCGAACACAATCTCAAGATTAAGATTATGATTGATCATGTACATCCTCTCCTCTGCCTGCGCAGATGTAATCCCAGGGGGGCGCTGCACTGTGCAGGGAAATGAGGTATTTAGCGGCGAGAATGGCGTCTCCCACATTTGCGTGAACTCGTCTAGAATGTACGGAATAGCAGTCTGATTGGCCTGGTAGTCCATGAAGACGACAGCGCGTTTACCGTCCAAGATCATCTCGGATAGTGTAGGCCAGTCGTCCAGACTCATAGGTATTTTCCACGGCTCGTAGACGTAGTCGATGAGACCGGAGTTCTCGATGGGAGCGGTAAAGTTCCAAGGGGAGACGTAATCGGAGTTGACGATCAGGATAGTAACGACATCATATGGGTTGTCCTTAATCCAGTCGGTCACAGTCGTGAGGTAGTCTTCTAGGGTGCCCATGTTCAGGAGGTCGCAAGAGCTATGGCAGAGGTAGATATCGTCTTCGTAGTAGTGGGCTTCGAAGGATACTGCGCTGATATTAGCAGTGGAGTGCTAATGTTGAAGAGTGGACTTACGCATGCGCACTCCGTCCTCGAGCTGAGTCTTCACCTTGTACATCTGATTCGCTGCAATATTGTTCTTCTTCACGAAGGGACTGTTGTGTGCCGTGACCATGGTAATATTCGAGTATTGTCGGCTGCAGAACTCAGTGTAGCCATTGCAAGGCTGCGAGTTGGCTGGCGTGGTCGCAGTGGACGTCGCAGTGCTACTGGAGTTTCGCGTGCCGGTGACGACAACATTTGTATCCGTGGTTGTGGTGGCAGTGGTGGTGCCATTAGTAGAAATGGTTGTATTGGCCGCGGTGGTGGTGGTGAAGGTCGTTTGGGAGACGCTATCCGCGACCGTAATCGTAGTGGTGTAGCTGAGATAACTGCCGGTAGGAACAGCGGCGGCAGTTTCGGTGGTCACGACGCTGAAAGACTCACTGTCGGTTCCTGAATGAGTGGACGATGCAGAGGCTGTAGAGGCATCATCGGTGATGGTGGTGACTTCGGCTTCCCTCGTGCTTGTCGTGCTCTTGGCGCCCACGTGGATTCCCCGCAGCAGCAGGAGAATCCAAAGATATGCGACCACGAGCATCGTGATGGTGAAGGGTGCGCGGATGAGAAATCGGATCAATCCTCAAACATTGCGGCTTCACGAGATTTTATTGAAGGATCTTCTTTGCCACTGAGGCTGTCTCGGAGCCGATCTCTTGGCCAATCCACCGCTTGCGCATCCCCAGATCGCGGAGAGTCCAAAAGTGAGTCTCCGCGTGACGTCGGCGGTGCTGGGCACAAAAAGCTTGGCTGGCTTGGTTCTTCCTTATTCTTCCGCGCAGCACAAATCCATCCCAGCATTTGCGAGTCATTTGCAAATCGCTGGCAGTCTTTCTACGTGTCTGACATCATCCGAATTAGTTAACCCGAATTGTTATTAGCCCCTATGCCTGGCTTCAACTATTCAGCATGGTGAGGGGACCTGGCTGCGAATCTTTCTGCCTAGGGGATGTGGTCCACGGTTAGTCCGCGTTTGCTGCAGAGTCTTTTTCCGGTGGGACCAACCACCAATCCTTCTTTGCGCAATGCGAGGCTGACAGAAGGAAGCATGGTCATAATGCGAACTAGTTAGGCATTGTTCTATACTGGCAGAAACTAAGTTCCAATAATTGATAATGTCAAGTGACTCGCTGTGCTGCTAAGCCACTCGTCATCACTGTGCGACACGTTCAGGAACAGCAATGCTTGAAGGCGTGGCGTGGCACCCATCGGCGATCGGTCGTGCCAAGTCAACCGGTGCAAATAATCATCTACTCCTGACTTCCGGCCCCATCTTTCGTGTCCAGACACGACACATTGTTTTCGTAACGCTTGCCAACGGCGAATTCGTTTCATGAATCGATTGTGCTACAAGTGGCGTCCAATTACCATCCCAGGTACTATCGCATCTATGCGCCGGGAATTAAAGAAGCCAATGGCGTCACGAAGCACCTATCGCATTGTGATGCTAAGCCACACCTGAAGGACACGACAGGTCAAATGCGTCCCGGATAACCCGGCTGAAGATGAAGCCGTCAAAGTCAGGCAGCTGGATTAGTTACTGAGGGTCCAATTACGAGGGCGTCGCTTCGAGAACACCATATTATCGCCCCAATTGCAGGTGGGTCAGCTCGACGGCGGCTCGTCCCTTGTGGCCCCTGGCGAAGTAGCTTCATTTGAGATCTCCTTTTAAGGGGCAATGCCCCCTACCCGTATAGTCCCTTCTCCTGATACCTGCACGTCCTGTACTTGTCAGACAGAGAGACAGAATGTTCGGCAGTGGCTTGATGTCGTGGCTGAGGCCCTCCGAGGCCGTGCCCGAAAGCAAATGGGACCCTGAGACCCTGACGATGGAGCAGCCTGCTAGCCCGTCCGGTCCCTCCATGGAGCACGTTGTTACTGAGCAACCGGTATGCTAAGTCACCTGTAAGGTCGGCCAAGGTACTAACAAGAACAGCGCACTGGAGAGTCCATGCAGCTGCAGATCCGCGGTGGTGGTGAAGGAGAAGTGTGCTGTGGAATGTAAGTCTTCTACGTCCGACGAGGGGATGGTGCTAACTAGCCTAGCTGTGCTGGTGTCTGCTGCTTTGAATGCTGCGAGTGCTGCTGCGATTGTTGCGGCGACGACGGGCCGGATGGTCCTCCCCCTCCTCCCGGCCCACCCGGACCTCCATGAGTGAACAATGGATAGACTCGGAGAACGTTGGTTCGCATAGGAATCGGTCTATGTGGTTGATAGTTCGGCCAAGGAGTTCTCTGTGACAAACATGTTGTCCGCCCGGGGTGACTATTTCTCGCCGGGTGTGAATAGTGATTATCAATTTATACCCTTCGTCAGCACTGTTTAAATATGAACTTACCTCTTGTTGCCTTTATTTCTATTTCAGAACCATGAAGCTGTTGTGAAGTCATCCAGACCGGTTTTACACACGGGATGGGCCGATTTTGTATCCCAACCGACACCTTTCGACCATCCAAAGTGGGGTCGATGACAGTCACGACTGCCATTCAGCATCATCAGCTCAACAAATTCTGACCAGCAACGGAGACCAGTGGTCCGACACTTGAAGTAGATTTAAATCCGCGCAGGTTGAAATGGCTTCATCTTCGGTCTTAGTTTCCCAATCGAAGCTGGTTCAACGCCCAGACGCGGAGCGTGGGGGTGGGACCCCGGATTTTCCCCCACAACCTTGGCTGTGGTTGGCACTTTTTCCTTAGCTTCCATCCTGTGCGCAGATACTATACCCTCAGAGGTCTCTACATCATGCCATCGAAGTTTGTTGGTCGGGTTTACCAACTAGCTGAAAGATGTAGGTGCATGCCGTACGGTGAATTTGTCTAGATTTTTTGTATAGCCGGAAGCCGAATGTACCCCGCGTTATGGCTATATAAGGTTCGTAAAACCCATGCTCTTGTAGATGGGACAACAACAACGGCGAATCGATAGAATCATGGTGCAGGCTATCGCTTTTGGACTGCTCGGGCTGGCTGCCTCTGCTTTGGGCACTTATGCACCCTACTATGCGAACCTGACGTGGGAGCAACCGCGGACTCTGTCTAACTGGTCCAACCTTACCGTGGAGACACGGACAGGGACGTTCATCGGCATGCTGAATGACACTTATCCGGATGTTCGACAGTTTCTTAGAGTTCCTTATGCCAAGGTAATGCCTTCATTGTGTGGATCTTGTACTGTCTCTGACATGACCAGCCCCCTGTTGGGGATCTGAGATGGCTTCCTCCTCATCGGCTTGATAACTCAAGCAAGAAGATTGATTCCACCTTCTACGGTCCAGGTGAGTAACTTTCCACATGGTCATTAGCACGACTAACTGACCTGAGGGCAGCCTGTCCGCAGTATGTGTCAGCAGAGAGTGATTTCTGGAATGAATACGAACCGGAGAATCTGCTGCTCTCCGTCGGTGAAAGGCTCAACCAGGGATCCACGGCATGGTCCTCCTCGGAGGATTGCCTGTCTCTAGCGGTGTGGACTCCATCGTATGCTAATGAGACCTCCAAACTGCCAGTTGCGCTGTTTGTCACGGGAGGTGGTGGCATCACCGGGGGTATTAACATCCCGTCCCAGCTGCCCTCTGCTTGGGTATCGCGCTCTCAGGAGCATATCGTTGTTACCATCAATTATCGAGTCAACATTTTCGGCAGTGAGTATTTGACTCATATTTGCATGGATCAATTTAACATGTATAGATCCCAAGTCACGCGCGTTGAATGAGACGTCGCTAACACTGATGGATGTGCGCGCTGCCGTGGAGTGGGTATACGAGAATATTGAAGCGTTTGGTGGCAATCCCGAAAATATCATGGTCAGACGTTAAGCCTCTCCTCACATGACTAGAGCTAATGATAAGCAGCTATGGGGACAGTCACAGGGTGCCCTGCTGACACATCTGTACACCCTCGCATGGCCAGAAGAGCCTCTTGCCGCCAAGTTCGGCGTCATCTCCCAAGGAGCATCTGCCACACTCAACCTCTCCACCTCGCCCGACGTGTACCAAGACTTTGACATCGTGGCCAAGGGACTAGGGTGTAATTACGGTGATGATGCCGAGGCCGAGCTGGAGTGTATGCGTGAAATCTCCTGGGTCCAGATCGAGGAGTATATCAACCGCTACAATAGCTCTCCTTCTATCGCTTTCACCAACTATATCCGTATGTCCCAATCCGGCTTGTATGCCTGTTCCTACTAACAGCACCAGCCGATGAGCGATACATTTTCTCCGACGAAAGACAGCGATACCTTGAGCGCAAGGTGGCCCGAGGCCCATCAATTCGATCTGACACGGCACGAGAATTCCCCAGCACAAACACGACTTCGGTGAATATTGAAGAGGGCGAATCAGACTGTCTGGCAGTGACTGATCTTGCGCTGCGTGCGTCAATTGGACTCGAGACCTATCGCTACTACTGGGCTGGTAAGTCCCACGCCTACTTCCTATACTGATGGTCGTGCTAACATAGACAGGCAACTTCTCCAACATCAGTCCCGTCCCGTGGCTAGGAGCATTCCACTGGACTGACCTGCTGATGATCTTCGGCACATACAACCTCGATGTCGGCGAGATCTCACAGTTGGAAATCGACACCTCCGCTACGATGCAAGACTACCTGCTTGCCTTCCTCAAGGACTCGTCAACCGTCAGTGAGACGGTCGGATGGCCAGTATACCTAGGCAATGAGAGCAACGGGGGCCTCATCCTGGAATTCGGCAACGAGACAGCGGTACGCACCGTCACAGGCGACTGGCTTGACGCGGGCTGCTACAATTCATCTATCCCATTCAGAATCTGGGGGTAACCTATACACACTATCACCAGAGTATATACATACATCACACATCCAACACCACCTATATACATTCTATCCCCAATCTGATCTACAACAACCCCCTCTCCTTCCTCGCCTCCTTAGCCTCCATCTCCCTCGCCTTCTCCCCATTGATCCTCGCACTTCCCTCCAACCCATAAAGCACATCCTTCGACATTCCCGGAATCACCATTTCAAACGTATCCTCCACCACCGCATACTGGAAATACCCACACCTAGCAATCGGCTTCGTTTTCTTCACATCCAGAATCCCATCCGTAAGCACCCCCTCATCAATATGCACGCCCACCACCCGTCCCACAACCACATCCACCGTCCCCATAGGCGGGTTTCCCGGCAACCTCATCGTAGAATGATACACGCACTCAAACCGCACCGGCGACTCCTTCACCATCGGCACCTCCACCGGAAGAACAGTAGATGGCTCAACAGTCAGCCCAGCTTTCTCGAACTCATTCACTCCGTAGGGAAACTGTTGCGCCGTAATGTTCATCGCTTCGCGCAGGTCCCAGGTCGCGAGGTTCCACACAAAGGAGCCGGTAGATTCTGCGTTCACGACGGTGTCCTTTCGGTCTCCGGTCACGGTTTGGTTGCTGCTGAAGAGAACGTAGGGCGGGTCGAAGGTTAGGTTTGTGAATTGGCTGTAGGGCGCGAGGTTGGGGGTTCCCGTTGGGGAAGTTGTGCTGATCCAGCCGATAGGGCGGGGGACGACGCATGCCTATATGTTTTTGTCAATTAAATTAAGATCGTTGTTAGTATTTAATTTGTGAGTTTGGGAGGTGAGATAGAAAGTTTGAATGAATATGTGGTGGTGTGGTGCGAGAGGTCATTGGCGAGTGTGAGGGGAGCAAGTTGCACATGCGGGGTAGATCATTGGGGATGAATCATTTGATTCAATTGGGGTTTGGAGTTTGAAGTTGGGGAAATCAATCAGTACGTACCTTGAATGGATCATGAGGCAGGCCGTGGTCGGTTTTGCCGGGTTGGTAGAACATTTTCTTTAGTCTTCTTCTGTATTGTTTCTAGAGGGTCCAGCTGGGTTGGAATGTAATTATGATTCTGTGGTGCTTTGATTGCAAGGTGTAATCTAGTGGGCAATTGATATCATTTATAACTAAGGGCACCCCCGGGAAGACGGCACGGCAAAACGAGGTGGTACTTTGTACGGCTGTTAGGGCCTGACTCGGCTTCCGAGAGATGTGGGGGTTGCAGCTTTGCTGGGGCTGAGGGCGATGGGGGATCCCCGAGACGCCCGACTGCCGAGATTGGGTGGTAGATCCATTACTGGGTTGACATTAGTTCGCATTGGTGTATTGGTTATTGATTTATTATTCTTTATGGTACGTGGTTGATTTATGTGCTCAATGGGTGGTGGTGCTCAGTGCATTGAGACTGGTGGCAGTCTGCTAAGTACGATTTAGGTAAAGTCTACTAGGAAAACACTGAATACTTCATGTAAAGCAATTGCATTTCAATCCAAACACATATTCAGATTTGTAACGGTCTAGTTGTTCTCAGCGTCTATGCTTCCCCTTGGTATTGGTCAACGCCTGGCTACTCAAAACCATGTCCAAGGGCGGCGGAGCCGTAAAGGCACACAACCAATTAATATCAGTGTCCTCATTATAACGCAACATGAACTGCTGCAGGCCCTCCATATCTGTATTGAAATTGTAAATAATTGCACTGTGCGCATTCATACCTGCACGGACAAACGTATCAACGAAAATATACCAATTCTTGATATCCTCGTTGCGGTGGATCTTGACGTATTCTCGCACAAACACCAGAGTATTGGACTCGGAAGCAGGCCACTGCCAGAACTTCCAGTTACGGAAGTTCTCCAGGCCTGAAGACGAGCTCAAAAACTGATTGAGTCGATCGAAGTCAGTGGCTAGTTCCAAGCCATTGATCAGGGCCTCTTTGACTTTTGGATCCATCACCTTTGTTGCCTCACAATCACGATCCGCATTGTGTAAGTATGGGTCCACGAGGTCCTCGATAACGTCCTTGAAATGGATGATGGCACGAACAACGCCCTTGAGTTCCTGCAACGTCCACATACCCTTGGCTGGCATGAAGTAGATTTGCAGCGTGTCCATGTTGTCGCTCTCCACCTTGAACATTCTATCAATTGTCTCGAAGAAGTATCCCATGTATTCCCAAGCATCTTCGTCACTCATGATGGGGCTTGTAATTTTGGTTCTCCCTGATTGGGGGTTAGTATCTGGGCATATGAGAGGGTAGGTGGAGTTAACTTACAGAAAACATCCGTTCTCGGTTCAAACATAGAATTGTTTGGGTTGATGTCCAGGGTCCAGTTTCTGGGGTCGACACCTTGTTTCTTGTCATAGAGTCTAAGCGGTCTACCAAACCCTTTATTGACCTCATTGTAGTGGTAGATCATGTATCGGGCGACTTCTCGCGCATCGTCGAAGTCTTCCCTAGTCACCAGGGGCCAAAGGCTTCTGAAAAAGGAGATATAGTAGCACAACATTGTGTACTATGAGCGTGGGAGGGCACGGGTCTATGCTCTTTGGAGCAGTTGGGAACTTGAAGAGAGCAGGAATAAGACTGAACCATGGGACGGAATGATGATTCAGAAGAGGAGCACGTTGGTTATATATTACTCAGTCAAATGGCATCATAAGCAGGACGGTGTTGAAGCATGATTGTGGTTATTGGCATATCCCGTCATGCTTGAAGTAATGTTCATCTCCAACTGTGGTTGATGAACAAATGTGAGATATGAACGGAGGGGGCAGAGAGAGGAGTGGTTGAACAGTATGGCAGATTAGACACCGTAGCTATCAATGAGAATGAACACATAGTGTATAGAAGGCTCTGTCGGGAGTTTCAGCTATAACAGTAGATAAGAGAGTTTATTGAAAGAGCAAACGCTATTCTGACGTTCGATGCAATCTATTATCTGTTCATCTCGGCTCAAACAGCTTTGTTCTTCCCAGACCTCGGAACTCCATCCGGATCAGGCCAAAGAAGTGCAGCCATTACCCATGTGCAAAAATAAGCACTAAACCTTATACCGACAGTGAGACAGTTTGTCAACTGCAAGTAAAGTTCCCTGGCTTAGTCGTCATGTCATTAACCATAAACCCTATTGTCCACGGCACTTCCCTGGAATCGCCCATTGCACACTTTAACGTTGAGCATGCATGATTGCACCCTTTTGATCCTTTGGGTCTTTGGATAAGATTTCTTGATCCATGGTCTTGCAAGGCCTGATTGAGATCCGTACGGGTCGCTAGTTTGATTTAAAGTATAGGCCACATGGTGGAGGAATATAGTTGTAGTTGCAGCCCGCGGGATCCTCGTCTGTCAGGGCTAGGATGATGCAACTTATAGGCAGTATTCGGGTAGCTCGTTGATCTGCATGTCTCCCTTCGATATCAGACACAGTTCGTTGTCTCCACCTATCCCTGTTCATCATAGCCCGTGCAGGAAAGTAAAGATGACCAACTCACCACCTAGATTATCGTGTACATTCCGAGATGATGCCCATGAGGTACGCATTCTGAACAAGGCTAGCCATGCACAGGTCAACCGTAAACTCAGGCATCTCTTGCAGATCTTCCTTGTCGAGATACGTTGAGGTCCCATCAATCAGCGTTGGCAGATCATTCAGGACGGTCTCAATGACGATGTCTCGAAGCCCGCGATCGGTCTCAATCGTCGAACAGTAGACCTCGTTTACAGTTGAACGGAAGAACAGTCTGTCCAAGTCGCGCAGGAAGCACTCTTGGAAGTGCTCTTTTGCCTTCTCTTTGAGATCGTGGATCTGAAAATATTCTCCTTGCTCATACATATGAACATGGAATTTCGAAAGCCCGCCATTTTCCACGGATGACAAGGTAGTATACGGGAGGCTTCGAACAATCGGACTAGGGATGGGACTGGGATGACCAAATTCTACTGCGGTAGAGGTGTTCATGTCGCTTAATCTGGTGTAATCCCCCCTATAGAGAAACTGCAGCGTCTTCTCGAGATAGATGGGCTCGAGCTCCTCTATCACAATCTTTCCAGAAGACTCCTGAGTATGACACGCATGTGTTACTTTGGTTCACATTCAATGTTAAATTGATATGTAGCAGTGACTTACAAGAAAACTGCTATTACACGCGCGTGAAAAGTAACCAGATTGAGGACACACGACGCATTTATGAGCTGGGAAGACAACATCTCCGCAAAGGATGGACAAGTCGCTCCATGTAGAGCTTAGGAAGAGGCTACTAAGCGTGAGAAGCTGTTGATAAGGACATGAGATAGGCTTACTCTGAGATGACCTTAGTCGGCCCTCGTGGCCTTGCATCAATGCTTGACGATGACATTTTGTAGAGGAATGGAACTTGCCGCTAATTGTCGGATTTGCTTCCAGTGGTAGACCGATGTATGAGGAAGGGATGAGGAAGAGTTGAGCACAAAATCGGATGAAAGCGAGGTACAGGTACGCGTGAATAGTCAGTGAAGGCAATAGTACTAGAACACAAAGAAACCAGATTGAGCTGGCCGAGTTCCCTCATTCACATGACAAGGCAAGAATCAACCTCTTAGACGTCTCCTTGTACAGATACAGTTAAGGACAAATTGAACTGTTCTCCCTCCTATTTTGTAGCAAGCTATCTATTGGTCCTATGTTCACCCCAGCAACATTGACTTGTCAATTAGGGTCAAAACATTTGTGCAAAAGCCTCATAACACAAAATCTGTCGTCCTCCCTTTTGTAGTGAGGAAATTTTGAATGACCAACGCCGTTTCAATCAAGCAGTCCAAGCTTCTGCTTGACACTAGTATAGTTGGACATAAACTTCACTTCTGTCATTTTTGGTAATTATCCGAGGGACTGTGGCATGCATGTGAAGCAAAAGCCTCACACATGCTTCTATATACATGCTATGAACCAGGTATCATGCACTTTAAAACATTCTCTGTTTAGAAACCAGCCTGTGTTGCCG